AATTTTCATCCTTTTTATCATTTCACCTTAAGACTATAATCTATCTTATTCCTCTTTCTTCAACAATTACTCGGTTTCATATAGGTGAGAGATAGAGATAGCGAGCATCCATGGAAATGTCTCGAGGAAGCAACAATTTTGACAATAAGAAGATTAGTTGCCAAAGAGGTCACTGGAGACCTGTCGAAGATGACAATCTCCGGCAACTCGTGGAACAATATGGCCCCAAAAATTGGAATTTCATTGCTCAACATCTCCATGGAAGATCAGGTTACTAATATATTTTCATAACTTGATATTTCTCAATTCTCATAAACCTTTTTTTTTGTAGTAGATCTATGTGTTTTATAAACATTTGAGTGATATGGATCTATATAGGGAAAAGTTGTAGATTGAGATGGTACAACCAACTTGATCCAAACATTACCAAGAAACCTTTCACCGAGGAAGAAGAAGAGAGACTGCTTAAAGCTCATCGGATCCAGGGGAACCGTTGGGCTTCCATAGCCCGACTATTCCCCGGGAGGACCGATAACGCAGTCAAGAACCATTTCCATGTCATCATGGCTAGACGCAAACGCGAAAGCTTCTCTTCCACAGCCACTTCTACGTTCAACCAAACTTGGCATAGTGTTTTGAGCCCTAGTTCTAGTCTTACAAGGCTTAATAGATCACAGTTTGGGCTATGGAGGTATCAAGAGGACACGAGTCGCAGTCTCTGGCCTTACTCTCTTGCTTCAACATCTAGAAATGATCAATTATTTGGATCTTCATCGGTCTTGAATGTACACCAAGAAATTTATCATGAAAGGAGAAAGTCGAAAGATTTGGTGGATCATCACAATTACAAATTTCACGAAGCCACACGAGAGAAGAAGACTTCAGGTGAAGATGGACCATCATCAATGGGAGATAATGGTGAGAAGAGCAATGTTACTTTCATTGATTTTCTTGGAGTTGGATTAGCTTCTTAGGTTATACTATCAAAACTTAGTGATTTTAAAGGTTTCTATCATTAGGGTTAGGTATCATTTTCAGCCTTTAATTTGCTACCTTAAACTCTCATATGGATCTTCTATCAACTACACCTCTCGTCTTCCATCCATCTAAATCAATAAATCATATACATAGAATAGGCGCCTATGTATATGTAAATGTATGTGTACCACAGCATTTAAATTGGTACATACAAATACATATATCTTTGCTTGCATGTGTATTTATTGTCAATGTACGTAATACACAAAGTCATGCTACTCTCTATCGATCTACATACATATCTGGGTAATGATTACCAAATCGTCTAATTTATGTATTGGAGCATCTGAAGTTTGACATTGTGTATCTAAATAGGAGCTTGTATCAGAAACCATATTTTATATGATATTTTTAGTGCGTTAGTTACATTAGACCGTCACTAGACAAATATTTGCATGTTATTGGGCAAAGAGATAAATCATTATTTCCCTGCTTATTTTACGGACGTGCTTGAAACCAATTTATATATAAATTATTTGCTGTGGTCATATAGTTTCTCGACTGTCCAACAATATATATATTGTATAATCTGCATAACATTGACACTATGCAAATTGTCTGTGTTCAAAAATATCTGAGTGGAAGTGAGACATGGCGCTCTTTTAAACCTAATTTAGTCATCTACTGTGAATATAAGAAAACAATACATTTTCTTTCTTTCTTATTTTGATGATTTCCGGTATTAAGATGTTTCTCTCTTAAGTTCAACTAATTAAGTGCAATGCGATTAGACCTTGTTTGTAGTGTTGATGCAATTGTTCGACCTTGAGGAACATATACACAGCCAGGAACATATACATAGCCAGTTAGCCACAATAATTATTTGTTAAAGAATTGTCCGGTTAATCCAGACAAAATATTAAATCTTTCCAAATGTGAAACTATCTAACAAGTAACAACTCAACTTGACTACCCGTAGGTGCTTCAAATGATAAAGAAATACACAAATCTATGAGCTTCGAGAACTAGGAATGATTCAAAGTTTTTGGAGAAAGTTCATTATGTATTCTTTTGTCGTAGTTTCTACATCATCGCATTCATTCTAATATCGAAACATTTGTAAAATTAACGAATATCTTCTTTCAGGACAAAATATTCAACTTTGTACTCATTAAAATATCTCAACATCTTACGTATAATTATCATATATATTCGTTCTAGGATAACACTTTATACGTTATGTAGAAAAACTAATTTATTGGCCAAAGACGGATTCACGCACCTAAATGCAATAATCTTTGTAGTGGGTGAAACACAAACGGTCTGGAAGACAATGACGGTAACAAAATGACTAAGCAAAAAAATCTTTATGGAATCATTCAACGTATGTTTCGTTACACAAAGTATGTATAAAGT